ACACACACACACACACACACACACACACACACACACACACACAAATAAACACACAGTTATACTCAGAAGGTTGTGTAGTGGACCACAGGATTTTAAACATTTGTGTTTTTGAAATGTAAAAATATGTCTTCTTTACGTATATACCCACAAACAGTTTGTGTGTGTGTGTGTGTGTGTGTGTGTGTGTGTGTGTGCTGACCCTGAGGAAGCCGTCAAAGCGCCGGATGTCTCCGCTGAGCTCAGACAGGTAGGACACAAAGCAGAAGCCTTTCTCGTAGGTGAAGAGGTTCATCAGAGTGCTCGGGTTCACACCTGCAGAAAGTGGGCGGAGCATGATGGAGACTCACCTGTACAGCTGTAAGCCACCCCTGCATGCAGGCATGTGCGCTCACCTGGCTCAAACTTGACCTGCAGTTTGCTCACAGGGTTGTTGTCTCCGAGGAGGCGCAGCTGTCGGTGCAGGGCGTCCAATCGAACCACCGTCTCCAGGCAGGTGAAGGCCTCACCTGCAGACGAGGGGCGGGGCACAGTTAGCCCACAGTGACGGCTGATGGGTTACTGAATTACCTGGTGGTCTCTCACCGTAGGCCTCGGTGGTGATCCTGCGCTGTGCGTAGGTGGCGAGGCCCTCGCTCAGCCACATCTCCTCCCAGGTGGCGTTGGTGACRGCGTTGCCAAACCAGCCGTGTGCGATCTCGTGGATGACGTCGATCAGCAGGAACTGGCTGCTCTCCAAGATGGAGGCGATGATGAAGGTGAGGCAGGGGTTCTCCATGGCCACGATGGGGAAGGAGGGGGGCAGGAAGACGATGTCGCACCTGCCCCACAGGTAAGGGCCGAACAAGTCCTCGGCCACGCCCAGCCAGCGCTCCACGCTGCCCCCTAGCTTCTTGACGGCGCAGGGCAGCAGACAAGGCTCCGCCCACACACGACTCCTGATTGGACGGAGCAGGAAATAATTATTATTTCATCAAACACTCACCTGTTTCAGGTCTGAAAGATTTTTTTTAATATTTTATATAATTTTTTTAAATTATTTTAGTTTTTATCTCACAAAAATAATC